ATAAATATTCTTTAAATAATAATGACACAGTTAGTATTCATATTACTTGATATATTATTATAATAGAAAGAATGTTGGTGATAGTGTAATAGTGGATAAAATAGTATTAACATGTTAATGTATTCTTTCAATTACGCGGATAAAAATTTTTATTTTTATATTTCTGTACCACGATTATTCCAGTGAAAATTTTCAACACCCGATTAACCAGATAATCGGTGAATAATCGGTGATTCAAAAAAATCGATGAGACGGTTTTTGGAACAAATATATTAATTAGTTTCTTAAAATATTCATTACATACAGTATATAAAATAGAAAATATCTAAACATACCCGGTGGGTATAATACCCGGATCATGTGTTTGTGCAACTTAACATAAAAATAAACTTTTTTTCATATTTATACATGACATAAAAAAAAATAAACTTTATTCTTTATAATTTCACCTTCAACAACAAAATTTACACTCATTTGATTTTACTGATAAGTTGAATCTGGAAGAAGGACTTACTTTCGTTTCGTGGGAACAGGCAAAATTATTTTTTGATAATTTTGCATTACAAGAGGGTTTTAGTTATAGGATTAGACGAAGCGAATCTGAAGATGGTATTGTAACAAGGTTAACATATGAATGTACAAAATCAGGCAAACACAATCCACAAATTACAACAGATCCTACAAAACATCATAATGTCCATTCTCAAAAAACAGAATGCCATGGCATATTAATCTTTCTTTTCCAAAGTCAAGTAATGTAATAAAAATTAATTCCTTTGTAAATGCACACAATCATTCTTTGAACACAATGATAGGTGAAATGGTACCTCAATTTCAGAAACTTACTTCTTCCATGTTAAACGATATCAAAAAATATGTAGTTAAAGGAAGGATGGATTCGGCTTCAATATATCCATTGCTAATTAACGATTATCCACAAAACACCATTAATAAACGCGACCTTTACAATGCTGTCTATAATATTCGTCAACAAAATAACCCTGGTGATTTTGATGCATCGCAAATGATTAAAAATTTGTTTGAAAAATATGTGAAGGTGGTGAAAATTCTAACATAAAAGGTCGTAAATGTGGAAAATGTAGACAATTTGGTCACTATGCAAACACATGTATGGATTGAATAACTTTCATTTATTAATGTATTACTTTCAACTGTAATTTGTAGTCATGCTATGAATTTAATATTAGGCTTATCTAAATTATTGTTTATAAACACTTGGGTGTCTTAATATGTCGCATTTACTAGTTTAAATGGTTGGGGGTGTGGGTAAAGAATCATAGATGTTTGCAATTTGAATCATTATTAAGTATGTGAAATTGTATTATTTTTATAAATAGAATAAATAGATTCTATATGTTATGCTTGTTTGTAATTATAATAAATAAACGTAAAAAATTTTATGCCGATCTTTATTATTTTAGTAATGGTACCACCTGGGTATTATACCCACCGGGTATTGGGGTGTTAGATACAAATATATATAATCACAAACATAGGGGAAACCAAATAATAAAATCAATTAGTAAGGGTTTTGTACCACATAAATATGTTGATCAAATTTAAAAAAATTATATTAAACAAAAAAAATAGCGTTGTTACGTTATAGATAAGGTTCTTAAAGATTAAAAACACTTTCAATTTTTTTTGTAGCTATGTTGCTTCCAAAGTTATAAACTTTTTAAGTTTCCCGCTTGTTAATACTGTAAATAGCAAAAAAATATATATTTTTAAAAATATGAACATTGAACAAACTGATTTACTTTTAGAATACCAAAAACAAATTTTAACTGAAATAGTCGAAGAAGATGGATTATTAGTGATTAGCCGTGGTTTGGGATTAAGAATAATAATATGTTCCTTACTGAAAATTTACTCGCAAAGAAAGAATTTGGTAATTCTGTTAAATACACCTTCAAAAGAAGAATTGAGCATTAAAGAAGAATTAGCACAAATTGGCATTAGTAAACCTGGGCTCAGAATTGTCAATAATGAAATGAGCGCTAAAGAAAGGTTTTAGTGTGAACTTTGTTAATAAAAGTATTATTACTAATAATATTATGAAATAAAATAATAAAGTCATATTAATTATTTAATAAAAATATTAGAAATGAATTATATATTAATGGTGGAATATTGTCAATCACTTCAAGAATTCTTATAGTTGATCTTTTGACTAAGAAAATCCCAACTCATTTAATAACCGGAATATTTGTTAACCATGCTGAAAGGTATTACAATTGTTATTATTAATTGAGTAATAAAACTTTTTTTTCAGTAATTAAAAAAAAATTTTTTATAAACAAAAAAGAATAAATGTAACATCTACTGAAGCATTTATACTAAGAATATTTAGGCAAGAAAATAAAGTGTGTTTCATAATTTTAAAATTTGAAAAAAATTAAATTACTTCTAATTAATATGTTTTTATTAATTCCAACATTGTCAACATTGTCATATTCATCATTCTTATTACTACTATTAAGGAAGGATTTATCAAGGCATTTTCAGATTCACCAGAGACATTTGTTTCAGGATTTTCACCACTTCAAACAACATTACAGTTACTTCAATTAAGAAAAGCATTTTTATGGCCAAGGTAATAAAAGATTCAAAATTTAATTTTAATCTTTAAAGCATCATCATCATCATATTAACATATGTATGCGTGTTTAGATTTCATGTTTTGGTAAGGGAATGTCTTGAAGAAAAAAATTTT